ATGAACAGCTGCAGACACTAATGAGTTAAGGAGCTGAATGGGTGGGCGTGGCCTCACAGCTGCTTTGGAAGGAAGGGCTCTGTATGCACATAAATAGGAAGTGAGTGGGCAGTAGCCTAGAGCTATGACCTGGTACTCCAGTCCTTTCCACCACCTAGCATTTGCTCCCCTGCCTGTTTCCAGGGTACTGGCATTAGCTTGCTCACTCTTTTTTTTCTTTTTTTGTTTTCTTAAATTTATTTATTTTTCTTTAAACATAACACGAGGAAGGTGTTAAAACTGGTGTAATAGCTCAATAGAATAAGTATTCCAAATTTTGGGAGGGATGAAGAGGGAGATATTCAGAACCCTTCACCAGAGTCCCCCCAACTTGATCATAGTGTATTAATGATGTGCTTTGTGGATGTGGTTAGTCAATGACACCAGCTTGAGGAATCTTTCTTTCTGCACCAAACCTATTGAGTTATCTGGTCCCCTTGTTTGAGGAAGAACCGTAAGGCACAGAGCACAGGCATCAGCCAGAGTGATGTTCTTCAAGAGATTGACCAACCTATCAGGTCGTGGTGCTGTGACAGCCTTGGGGCTCTCGCAGACTCCCCGAACATTGCAAGCGCTGCACTTGCCAGTGTGCTGATTAAGAATCACTGAGAATTCCACCTCATCTCCTGCCTGTAGCTCACTCTTATGAAACATGAACTAAAAGAAAGGCAACTATTAAAACAGAAAGATTATTAAATAGTGAGGAAATTAAGGCACATTTTCATGCTCTGGTTGGTGACATTTGGCACCGTATCTGGGATGAGGCCAAATGATATCATTACTCAAGAGCACAGTCAAAAACTTCTGTAAAGGATCAGATAGAAAATACGTGTGCCTGTCGTGTCATGTGGGCTGCATTGCAGCTCAACTCTGCTGTCGTAGTGCAAAGGAAGCCAAAGATAATATGTTATAAAATAGGCATGACTAGATTCCAATAGAACTTTATTTATAAAAACAGGCAGTGGTCCAGATTTGGCCTGTAAACCCTAGTTCATCCACTCCTGTCTTCAAGCACTACATGCAATTTCTTGTCCTTTTAAAATTATTATCAACAAGATTTGTTCATTATCCTGGGGGTTTTTTGGTGTCCTCTTGCTATCTCAGTTTAAAAAAATTGACTTATTTATAAAACAAGGCATTTTTTCAAAAATTATCTTAAAAGATGTGCGCTGTTGGAGTGGGAGGGAGGTGAGACATGTGGACATAGGACACGACTACTTGAAAGTGGCCTGCTGCTTCCCAGCCCCAGATAATTCTATCCCATGCCAGTCCCCTCCTGCTCCTGCCCAAACTATGCCTTCCACAGGGTGCCTGAGTCCCTAAAACCCATCTCCAGCCTGGCTCTGTGCTCGGCTGGCCCATTGCTCTGCACCTGTGCTCTTCCTCTTGCCTCAGTCTTGATGCCAAGGAATAGAGTTTGTGCTGACCATCACCATGGAAACTCTTTTGAACCATTTTCCTTCCTATCAAAGCTACTGAGTGAACCATAAAGCTTGTCACCTTTCCTCTTTTATGTCATTGTCTTTCTTCCAGGTTAAAGGATCGTCAGGAGGTTGAAAAAACAAGGCTTTATAGGCACCATTCCTCACCCCCACAAAGAAACATTTTAGAGTGTAGAGAAGTGTAGAGTGTAGACCCCCATATGAAGGAGTCTTGCAGGAAATTTTACTGGCTTTCCACAGGAGAGTTAAAATGCCCGTTGCCAAGCAACACATATACCCTACAATGTGGACTTAAAAAAAAAATGTGTCCTGTGATTGACTCATGAATGGAAAATCATATGGGAATACATAGGGTAAAACAGTCTGTTGTAAGAATATTACATCTGTGTTTTCTGTCTTTGGTTTCTTTTCCTGAGGACCTTTATAGGATCACAGGGAAAAATAAGTCAGATGTGACTTCAGCAGAGTGCAACCGACTAGCAAGGCATATTAGGAACCTAAGATTACAGCCTATCCTCATTCACAGATCCCATGTTTGTGACTTTGCCTACTTTCTAAAATTTATTTGTAACCCCCAAAATCAATGTGAGAGGCTCATTAGCCTTCATTTGCAGACATGCACAATATCAAAGTCTTCCAACTGCTTGATAAACATTCTCAGCTGAGGTCAACAAGGCAACCATGCCCCACCTTCTTGGTTTACCTCTCTTCTGTAACCAGTGTTCCTTTTTAAAGTTGATTTGGTGCCGCATTTGTGTGCTTTGGTTGGTGATTTCTCTGTTAAAATGCCCACACCCCAACCCTCCATGTAGTCTGCTGTCTGGTTTTTCTCAGTGTAAAAGGCTGATGTGCCTTACAGAGAAAAGGAGTGTTAGATAAACTTCATTCAGGCACATTATCATGCTGATGGCATGCTCAATCTTAATGAATTAAAATGCAAATATATGAGAAAAGGAAGGAAAAATTCATTGACCTCCATCAGGCTACTCTAAAAAGATAAGATCTGATAAGATGAGAATATGGAAAAGCGACTATATTTGTTGATTCACAAGATGATGGTTGATGAAAAACAACCCCCCTACATAGTGGACAGCACTGTTTGAGGTGCAAAGCCAAAGAAATATATGGTCATGTTACCCAGGGTCAGGAAAACGATAAGCTCTTCTCAGGGGGTGTTTTATTATAAAGAAGTACTGCATGTGGTCCATTATTTGTGAGAAGTATATATATTAAATAATGTGTCTTTACTGATCAGTTGACAGAATATATTGACCAGAGGCCCTTCCCTAGGAAAAATGGGTCTGTATTAACTAATTCAGTATTTGTGAAAGCTAAATAGAACAAAACTGCCATGAGTAATAATTAATAATGTGAGATCACAATTTAACCCTACTAGAATTTGTTTTCCCCTGCTCATGTCGAAACAAAGTTCTGGGCTCATCCAGGCACAGTGTCTCCATTAGGAGTGTCTGCTAGGGCCTCCCTGGTGGTTCAAGGGGTAAAAGCTCAGCACTATCACGCTATCATCAGCCAGGGAGCTGTCCTGTATTGTGCAGCAGACCTCTCCTGTCTCCCTGCTTCTCCCCTCAGCAATGTATTTTAGTAGATCTCCCTGTTCTGCTCCCCACTCTTTCTCTGGTGAATCCTCTCAGACCCCATGTTTGTAATCTGGCCTCCATCCCAGTTCTTGTATGCATAAATAAATAAAAATAAATCTTTATTTAAAAAAAAGAGTGCCTGTCAGGAATGGGGCCTGAGTCCCCTGTCTGTTCGTCAGCTCCAGTGGTCCCCCCAACAAATTGCTGAATACAATTTGAAGGGAGTTAAATGTTTAAAGCCAGGCCTTGTTCTCCTTCTCCACATCCCCTTGCCTTTCTGTCTTAGTAGCTGAGGCTGCTGTAGCAAAAAATACCATAGTCTGGGTGGTTCAAACAACAGAAATTTATTTCTCACAGTTCTGGAGGTTGGAGTTTAAGGTGCCAGCAGATTTGGTTTCTGATGAGAACCTGCTTCTGGGTTCACAGACTGTCGTCTTCTCTCGATCCCTACATGGCACAGCAGAGAGAGGGTTCACTCTTATAAGGCTTCACCCTCATGACCTGATCACCTATCAAAGACCCCACCTCTAAGTACTATCACACCGTGGGTTAGGATTTCAACGTGTGCATTTGGGAAAGATATAAACATTCAGTCTGAGACTCTCCTTCTACCACTTTTTATCACTGATTATTTTGCTTGGAGGAAAACCCTGATGTATGTTTAAATGACCCCAGATCTGAGACAGTGAGCCCGGTGGCCCTGAAACGACACCTTAATTGGTCCCAGATGGCAAAGAAAAGCTATTGCTCTTACACCAGTCTTTGCTCCCTGAAGGCCTGGTGCAGGTCACGTGTGAAATGGTTTCTCCATTTCCGAGTTCTAATCTCTGCTGACAGCAGCCCTCGTCTCCTGCCGTGTCTGCCAAGCTGGCAGGTCCCTCTCCAGGGATCTCTGTAGGGGGCGGCTGACTAACAACCTGATGGGGACGCGGACATGAGGACAAAGACCTCTCACCTGGCATTATAAACACAACACAGAGGGACGGACACAGGGCATGGGAAATAAAGAGGCCAGCTCAGCTCGCAGGATCAGGGAGGGCTCCAGAGATGGAGTGCCATTGGCAGTGGTTGAGAGGATGCACACATGTTGATGATGATGTAAGCAGAAACCTTTTAAAAGGAAGGCAGGAAGCGTGTTGGGGGCAAGTATAGGAATGGAAAAATATGAGCCGTTCCTCCAGGTCAATTTTGAAAAAGCCTCAAAACACCATTAGTAAACTCCTGGGCTTCATTCTTACCACTCACACACTTCAGAGGAAGCCTTTTTAGAAAGTTCCACATTCTGTTGCTGATTGAGTAAGTGCTCGGGCCTCTCTGATAAGCAGGAATAGGAATACATTTTGCTCATTACTATTGTGTGCCAATATGGGCATTTAGAGACATGGCAATAAAATGGTTGCAACTCCTTGCCAAAGAATCTCTGCATGTATTGAAAACACACAGGTCTTCAGTGCAAGTAAGTTCAGGTCTGGGAAACTACTTTTTGTTGCAGGAATTGCTTGTGTGCGAAAACTCACAGAGGAGGGCTGTGTGCAGACGGCATGCTGAGTCCCCAGTCACAAAGCCATTTTCTCTTCATCCCTTCCTCTCGTTTCTATTCCCAGGTCTCATTATGTGCAATGTCATCTGCGTGCACACAGACACATAGGAATACCCCAGCACAGCCAGGGCAGAAGTGCCAAGGGAGGTGTTTTGCATGAATTCCATTCTTGGGGTTAGAAGCTCTTGTTCAGCTGCCAACTACAAATAGCCCAGTGCTGGAAAATGATGTTAATTAGTATGCCATTAAAAAAAAATGGGGTGGGTGAGGAAGAAAATACACTGCCCACAACACAAAAGCTACAGAGAGGTGAAGTCCTACCCTGACAGCCAGAGTGAAGCATGGCCCGCTAATGCAGCTTTAATCCACTTTGCTTGGCAGAGAGAGCAAGCTCACCATGCTGCTGCGCGAGTCCCTGGGGAACGTGAACTGCCGCACCACCATGATCGCTCACATCTCGGCCGCCGCCGGGAACTACGCAGAGACCCTGTCCACCATCCAGATTGCCTCCAGGGTCTTGAGGATGAAGAAAAAGAAAACAAAGGTAAGGAGCTTCAGGAGGGTGCGGTGGATGGTGCCTGCCTTGGCACTGAGTCGGAAGCTAGAGCCAAAAATCTAATTCCCAAGTACCTGAGGCACGGGTGAGGGAGGCTGCCAATGAGTGGCTTGGCATGGGCAGGAAAACCTTCAGGCCAGCAGAGAGGACTGTCTTCTTCTGCATGTGGGGCCTTCCCTGGTTATCCAGTATGGACCCCACCAGGCCATACTTGCTCCACTTTAGGTAGTTCAAATGGATTGCTACTTCTTGATGAAAAATGTTGGAGGAACAGGAAATATTCTACTTATCTCTTCCCTGCCTTGGTCCTATGTAGAGCAAGAACGTGTCCTTCAGCTGGGTGACCCCAAAGAGGACTGTTAACCTCTTGCTGCCCTGGCCCTACTTCCTCTGCATATGCAATAGTCATTTTCAGCTTTCTGAGTTTGCCTTGTGCATTCAGTGGTTTCTAGATGATGCCAAGAGTCTGCCAGAAACCACCATTTTCTTAGGCTGAGGCAAAGCTTGGACAGTAGTGTTGTTACCTGAATGTTTGAGAAAATAGTTGTGATCGGGCCAACTGGTACTGCGTGGTGTTCTCCCTGCCCCCCACCCCAACCCCTTTGGTATATTATTTGCTGTTGTTGTCAAAAACAGGACTTTCCAACAAATGGTCTGTGGCACAGTGTCCCACAAATGGCTTGGGTGTGCAAAGCTGGTGACCGCTCCACCCCTTAGGACATCAGATGGGGCTTAGACGAGTCACCTCCTTTCATGAACACCTTTGTGCCACAGAGGGGTTAGCCTTCACAGGCCCAGGGTGGACTGGTCAGCACACCCCAAGAAGTAACGGCCAGGTGTCGGGGCAGCCAGCGAGGCCTGGGCAGCCTGCATCAGCATCGTGGGCCTCTGTTGCTTGCATCACAACGTCAGACTCCCTGGGAGGGCTGTTTCAGAAGGGCTGCCCATGGTAACTGTTCTCTCTCGCCCACAGTACACATCAAGCTCCTCTGGAGGAGAGAGCTCCTGTGAGGAAGGCAGAATGCGCAGGCCCACCCAGCTGAGACCCTTTCATGCCAGGGCTGCGGTGGATTCGGATTTCCCGATCCCTCACCTTTCTAGTGACCCCGACTACTCCTCCAGCAGCGAGCAGTCCTGCGACACAGTTATCTACATTGGGCCAAATGGCACGGCCCTCTCTGACAAGGAGCTCACCGACAATGAGGGCCCCCCAGACTTTGTCCCTATTGTGCCAGCTCTGCAGAAGACCAGGGGGGACAGCCGGCCTATGGAGGCTGCGGAGGCAGCAGCCGGCAAGTCAGAAAGGGACTGCTTGAAGTGCAACACGTTTGCCGAGCTGCAGGAGAGGCTGGATTGCATCGATGGCAGTGAGGAGCCCAGTAAGTTTCCGTTTGAAGAGCTGCCTACCCAGTTTGGGGCAGAGCAAGCAAGCAAGTGTCCCCCGTTAAGCCAAGCAGCAGTGGGGGCGAGCCCACTCTGTGAGTCTGACAAGGAAGACAATGGGTCAGATGGCCACCTGACTGACAGAGAAGCCACCGAACCCCCGGCCTTCAAGATGCAGAGGAATCACTCGCCTGTTCCTGCCGCAGCACTTACCAACAGCCCCACCCCTGCCTCACCAAGGAGCATCCCGGGCAGCAGCAGCAGCAGCCAGCACAGTTCCCAGCTCGTGCAGAGCCCCAGCCTCCAGAGCAGCCGAGAAAGCCTGAATTCCTGTGGCTTTGTGGAAGGCAAACCCAGGCCCATGGGCTCCCCCCGGCTGGGCGTGGCCAGCCTGTCCAAGACCTCAGAGTATAAGCCTGCCAGCTCTCCTTCCCAGAGATGCAAGGTCTATACCCAGAAGGGTGTCCTGCCTTCTCCTGCCCCCCAGCCTCCCCTGAGCAAAGATTCCAGCACGGTATCGAGCGAGTCCCTGCTGCAGCCTGAGATACGTACTCCCCCTGTTGGAATGAGCCCCCAGGTTTTGAAGAAATCCATGTCTGCTGGAAGCGAAGGATTCCCTGACACCCCTGTGGAGGACGAGCCTCAGGCGGCCACGTCCCCAGATGCCAAGAAGGAGATACTGAGCACCACCATGGTGACTGTGCAGCAGCCCCTAGAGCTGAATGGGGAGGACGAGCTGGTGTTCACACTGGTGGAGGAGCTGACCATTAGTGGGGTCCTGGACAGTGGCCGCCCCACCAGCATCATCAGCTTCAACAGCGACTGCTCTGTGCAGGCCTTGGCCTCGGGCTCCCGGCCCGTCAGCATTATAGGCAGCATCAGCGAGGACCTGGAGTGCTACTCAAACGTGGCTCCTGTCTCCGAGGTCAGCATCACACAGTTCTTGCCCCTCCCGAAGCTGACCCTGGACGAGAAGGGCCGGGAGGCGGGGAGCAGGCGTTCTTCTATCAGCTCTTGGCTGAGTGAGATGAGCACAGGCAGCGACGGCGAGCAGTCGTGCCACAGCTTCATAGCCCAGACGTGTTTCGGGCACGGGGAAGCGATGGCAGACCCCCCGGCCTCAGAGTTTGTTAGCAGTATCCAGAACACCACCGTGGTGTGCCGAGAGAAGCCCAAGGCTGGCCCTGACAATTTGCTCATCTTGTCTGAAATGGGGGAAGACTCTTTCAACAAAGCAACCCCCATCAAAGGCTGCAAGATATCCACACTGGGCAAAGCCATGGTCACCATCTCTAACACTGCAAACCTGAGCAGTTGCGAAGGGTACATTCCCATGAAGACCAACATTACGGTTTATCCCTGTATCGCCATGAGCCCCCGGAATGTCCCAGAGCCCGAGGCATCCATCGCAACCATCAGCTCAATCCCTAAAACAGCGCAGGTCCAGGAGAGCAAGGAAACCAGTACAAAGAGAGAGATGAAATTTGAGGACCCCTGGCTAAAAAGAGAAGAAGAGGTAAAGAAAGAGAATGCTTATTCCGACGAAGAAGGAATTAGGTATGAGACTGCGACGGGCTCCCTGAAGCCGGAGGCCAGAGCAGAACAGAAGCAGGACAGGAAGGCCAGCTGCGGGGACAGGCTGAGCAGCAGCAGTGGTGAGGTGTCTGCCTCCCCGGGGACCGACAACTTCAGGAGGGTTGTGGATGGCTGTGAGATGGCCCTGCCCAGTTTGGCGGCCCAGAGCCCAGTGCATCCCACTAGAAACCTGAAGTCCAGCAGCCTTCCCAGGGCCTTCCAGAAAGCCAGCCGACAGGAGGAGCTGGACAGCCTCTTTTACCACTGTACGGCAGAAACCAATGGCATCGCCACTGCACTGGGCACCCCGCCCTCCAAGGCAGCCCTGGAGAGGAAGGTGGCATCACCCAAGCATTGTGTCCTGGCTCGGCCCAAAGGGACCCCCCCACTGCCCCCTGTCCGAAAGTCCAGCTTAGATCAGAAGAACCGGGCCAGCCCCCAGCACAGCGCCTGCAGCAGCAGCACCAGCAGCCCCTTGAATCAACCAGTGTCCTTCTTGGCCAGCTTCCCGGATGAGTCCTGCAGCAAGATGAAGGACGCCAATAGCAGCAGCAAGCTCTTCAGTGCCAAACTAGAGCAACTGGCCAGCAGGACCAACTCTCTTGGCAGGACAACAGTTAGCCACTACGAATGCCTCTCCCTGGAGAGAGCGGAGAGCCTGTCCTCCATGAGCTCTCGGATGCACAACAGCAAGGACAGCACCATGCCGCGCGCCGGGAGGAGCCTGGGCCGCAGCGCCGGGGCCTCGCCCACGAATCCGGGCTCCACCCAGTCCACTGGGGCCTCGCCCAAGGCCAGCCAGTCCAAGATCTCCGCTGTGAGCAAGCTCCTGCTGGCCAGCCCCAAAGCACGCAGCCTGTCCACCTCCACCACCAAAACCCTCAGCTTCTCCACCAAGTCTCTGCCACAGTCGGTGGGCCAGAGCTCCAATCTGCCCCCCAGCGGGAAGCACATGTCCTGGTCCACCCAGTCCCTCAGCAGGAGCCGCGGCTCAGGCCTGGCCTCCAAGCTGCCCCTGCGAGCCGTCAATGGGCGCATCTCAGAGCTGCTGCAGGGCAGCGCGAGCCCCCGAGGCTTGCAGTTGCGGGCCGGGCCAGAGGTGGAGGAGCGCGGCGGGGGCCCCGCAGAAGACAAGCCTTCCGCCGCGCACCTGCTGCCCTCGCCCTACAGCAAGATCACGCCCCCGCGGAAGCCGCACCGCTGCAGCAGCGGCCATGGCAGCGACAACAGCAGCGTGCTGAGCGGGGAGCTCCCGCCCGCCATGGGGAAGACCGCGCTGTTCTACCACAGCGGCGGCAGCAGCGGTTACGAGAGCATGATGAGGGACAGCGAGGCCACCGGCAGCGCGTCCTCTGCGCAGGACTCCATGAGCGAGAACAGCAGCTCTGTGAGTGGGAGGTGCAGGAGCCTCAAAACCCCAAAGAAACGCTCCAATTCAGGTAGGCATCTGGGCACGTCGAAGGGCAAGGCCTGTTGCCCCAGTCCCACTGCTGCCCTGTCCTGTTAGTTGGGGGTGGAGGGTCATCCCTGGCGGGCATGAGATTGATACCAGGGCTCTCCGTTTCCCACAGTCTGTCACCCTGCAGGCTTCAGGTGGGGACGCAGGACCCTTTCACTGTCAAAAGCTGTTCTATTAAAAAAAAAAAAAAGGTACTATTTTTAGGGCATCATTATGCCTTAAGGCTGCAAATACCCCTCACCCACCCACATGGTGAAGAAACAGGGCCTGCACAGCCTCCAGGATCCCCCACTCTATGCTCACCAGCTCTAGGGGTAAAACTGTCTGCTCCTCCTTTGGGTCCCCTAACTAAGTGAGGGGAGACCTGGGTTTATCTGCTCAAGGACAGGAACATTGCTGCTTAGGGGCTTCTGAGCAATCAAGTCAGAAAAGCTACCCTTATGACCTAGTGGCTACAGAGCTGAAATGTAGGGCTGGAGTTCCTCCAGGCCCTGGCACGCTCTCCCTGGCATGGGATGAAGCATGCTGTCTTTCCTTGAGAATGCAATGGGCAGGCCTTTCCTTCACCTGCACCCCAAGCACTGTTGTGGTAAGCCCATGCACGTACACCATGGAGCCTGAATTGAACACTCTCCTATTGCCCCCCTCTGCCAGCCCCCTGCCAGAGGACACCCCCACACAAAATGCATGCTTCTGGAAGAATTCTTTGCCATTTACAAGAATCTCTAATCAAAAGACAAATATATACTGCAGAGAAACTAATGTATAAAACCCACTGGCTTGTTAACTGGAGTTTTAGGTGACATGTGACAGTAACTTTTTTTTTTTTAAGATTTATTTATTTATGCATACAAGAGCTGGAGTACAGGCCAGAGGTGTGGGGGTGGGGGGGTGAGAGGATTCACCAGAGACAGAGTGGGGAGCAGAACAGGCAGACTGACTGAAATACACTGCTGAGGGGAGCAGCGGGCGAGACAGGAGAGGTCTGCTGCGCCATGTGGGCTGTTCCCTGGCTGGTCAGGGATCGAATTCATGCTGCAGAGGCTGCAGATTGCTTTATAGTGCGGTGCTCAACCCCTTGCGCCACCAGGGAGGACCCAGTGAAGTGAATGGGCACTAGAGGTGGTAGGTGAAGTGAATGGGCAGTAGAGAGGGGGAGAAAGAGATAGAAGAGGAACCAAGAACAACTTTAGCTACTTGAGAAATTTTTCCGATTCATCTTTGTCCTTAAATGGCTTCCAAAGAAATCACCCCTACTTATTCCTTAGCATAAAAACTCGTATTTTAAGTGAAGCAATCATATCCAGAGACCCCTCTGCAGTTCTGTGCCTTGGTTAAAGTGAGAGTGGCCTGGACCCTGCCCTGCTAGCCTGTTTTCTGCTATACCATCGCCCTTCTGTGGAACCCCAGGCTCTTCGAAATCATTGCCCAGTAGCATATTGGTGCTACCAGCGTATTTGGAATAAAAGATGGGGCAAGACCCAGAAGTGGAGCCTCCCCTTTCTGGCTTTTCCATCAGCTGTTCCACTGGATTTTTCTCTCAGCCACAGGGTTGCTTTTGCATGTGCTCCCACCACAGACAAGCACAAGCTCTAGAATGTTCCAACCCAAATGTAAGATCTGTGGTCAATGCACATCATAAACCATTTGTCTCAAATCAAAGCGATGAACCTCAAGGGACTATGCAGTCATGTCATAATTCCAGACACTACACTGTCGATAGCCTCCCAGATCATGAAACCTTCTAGGATGTTAAACTGCTCAGGAGTCACTGTGGCTGTCAGACCCTTGATGTCTTTATCTCCTCGTGGTGTGTGCTTTAGGCTTTGATCCTCTTTGACAGCGCTCCTCAGCAACCCTCACCCCTCAGAGTCCATCAGCAGACATGGGGGCAGACCCCATAGTAGACAAGTAGAGGACAAAAAGCCATTTGACATAACATGACAGCTTATTCTCAGGGCTGGGGCATCAACATGTATTGATATTAGTTGCTAAAAATAGCAAGAAAGTTCGTCTAAGCCACAGTCTCTGTAGAAATAAAAAAAAAAAAAAAAAAACCCTTCTGGCTTTCAGTTTTGGAGGATAAACCTTACTATTATGATCTCCGCAGTCTTGCTCTTCAAAGTCCAGATCACAGAAATCCTGTGACATTTCTATGTGCCACATGGGTGAGGTATAGAGAGGCTTTCACACGCTCTAATTTAGTGCCTTGAATCTATGACTCCATTTTACTCTTTCCATGCCTTTTTCTCTTCTTTCAAAACTTGCATTGTTCAGCTTGGCTGTTGTGCTGGAGTAAACAAGAAGAAAAAGTGTAAAATAACTGTTTGGGGAGTGGACAGCAGGCTTCGCCCAGGTCTTGCTCTAGTTCTACCTCCTGTCATAAATGCTGTCCTCTGAGGGTCTCTTGTCAGATTAGCCTACTGGAGGGAAAAGTGGAAAATAAAAGCACCAGGCTCCGTGCCAGATGTGGGATTTAATGCAGACGCTGAGAGCATCGGGCCTCAGTGAGCAGCTCGTAGATCCAGGGCCCCATAATGGACCTGGCAGCAGAGATATGCTCCTTTCAGGCCAGGTGACCTTGTCTTGCTTATTTATGATTATTATTAAGAAAAATGCCGGCTGCCAGACATGATCAGCATAAATCAAAAGCAGCTTCTTTAAGAGAAGCCATAAAACTCCTCTAAGGAAATTCCTAACTAGATGGCTAGATTTTAAAATTACTAGAAAGAGGTCTTTGGAACTGCAGAAAGATACGTGGTTATTATTTTTTTTATCAGAGATTGATTTTGAATCTGGGAAGATTTAATATTTTGGTTATTTCCTTAGTAAAAATGAACCAGAGATAGAATACTGGAAAGATATTCTTGAGCTCTCTGAGTGCTTTATGGCACATTTAACAGTAGAATCAGCAAAACACCATCACCACAGTTTCCTTTCCCAGCCCCGTCCGTGGTGAGGCATGTTGGTGGGAAGCACACAGGGTTGGGGTGTTCCACTGACTATAGCAGGTGCGTGAGAAGATAAAGCTACAAAGTAGGAGACTTAGAGTCTTGGGCTGTGTGATCTTTAGGGAATAACTATCCTCTCTAGGCTTCAATTTTCTCATGTAAAAGTAAAGCGGAGGGGTTTATTGAGAAACCTCATAGTCTCCTGATGCCCATATTGTCAGATGATTTGAATAATATAAAAAAAAATTGGTGATAACATGACTTCTTTGCATAGCATTTATTTCCAATTGATAAATATTGATCAGGCCTCTTCTATATTTTTTGAGCTTGATGGTGTGGAAGTTTCAAGGGTGGAGGGGAAAGGACAGGCAGTATAGACAACTAAGCCCCTGTAAGAAGTCTAATCGGGTTAGAGAAAAAGGATGAAAAGTTTGGAGCACCTATGAGCATTGCCAAGTACTGAGTGGTAGAGTGAGACTTGTGTCTAGGAAGCATTCAGAAAATGGGAGTGTCCAGAGCAGCAGGAAGAAAACTGTGGGGAAACATTGGATTGAGCTAGGCCTTGAAAAAGCTTAGGCAGAGCTGGTGGAGGGTATTGTTTGAGGCAGTAGTGGGAGCATTGGCCTGGCACCAAGAGGGTGGCCTATGGGCAACAGAGAAAGATTAACTCAACAAGGGTGATATTCTACTGGATGTCAGGATTGATAGAAAATGTAAGTCCAGATCAAGTTATACCTTAAATATCTCACAACTATAATAGTAATAATTGCAGTCATTACAGATTCTTGACTGGGAATGTGATGAGTGAGAGAAGCTGTGTTGCTTTTATCAATGAAGTTTCAGTGATCTATGCCAGCCCCCTACAGTGATGCAAACATGTATGTGGCCTAAAGCCATGAATAAGTTTGATGACAACCAGCCCTGGCCAGGGTGTATTAAGTTGCTAAAAGTATGTAGATTGGTGATATAGTTTTTGCTACATTTTCATCAACTGACAGTCGGACACCTCCCCCCCACCCGAGTCCCAGTCCTTACACTGTCTGCTCTCGCTATCACATAGCACTTATGGTGTGTCTCCTACCTGGGCGCTATCTCTTACATTCCACCCTATCCCCTGTATGTTAGCTTCTTGGTTTCCTTTTCTATCTTTCCGTCTCTTGATTAGGGAAACCTGAAAATAATATCAGCACCTTGGTCTGAATAAAGCTCATTTGTATATATAGTATGACCCAGAATCCAGAAAGCCAGGGAGAAGAGGGTCTGCCCCAAGGGAAGCAAACCCAGAGAGCGTGTTGGTTCTGAAATGCTGCCAGGGATTGACCTGCCCAGATATGAGCACCTGCAAGGCCTGTTCTGCACTTGGCTCAGCTTTCTGGGTGTCCAGCCCCGAGCTGGGCCACTTGGATACCATGGCTGATCCGCAGGCTGGTTAGGTTGGCTGTCTGGTTGGCCAAATGGGCCTACAAGTTAGCTCAGAGTTCTTTTCTATGCATTCCTCATACCTCATACTATTGGTGACCAGTGCTTTACACACTGAACCTACCTTCTCTGTCCTTTGCCATTCTAAGCATCCAACTCAGTGCCCGTCTTTCTCTGGGCGCTAGGTCAACATGACTGACTGAGGGGATTCTGGGTTCAGTTCACAGAGCCACTGTGCAAATATTTGTGACAAGTTACCCTCACAAAGGCCTGGGAGCACCAGGGCTGCCTCGCTTACCCTCTGTTGTTCATCGGGTTCTGAGGTTCATTCTTCGTTTGTTTTCATGAATTCAAGACATACCGTGGTCTCTAGCTTAATAAAAACGGAAAAAACAGAAGCAGGCAAGCTGCTTGCTAGCAAATTTAAGCTTGCCAGTGTCTTAAGAGAATCCACCTAGACGGATGAGAAAGATTGCAGAATGAGAAAACCCTTTTGAATATACAGTTGGGACAAAAAAAGTAATTCACTCTCTAAGACACCACGGAAGCCCTCGGAGTGAGGAATGGGGGCAGGGGGTGCAGGGCCGAGGGTCCCAGGGAGAACATGTGAGGGGCCTAGGCTCTCTCTCGAGAGTTCTCCGGTCCTGTCTCACCTCCATCATTCTCTAATTAAGGCTGGAAAACAGGCAGTAGAACCAATGTCATCATGCATCCGGGAGGCCATGTACCTGGCTCTTATTTACCAGTGAAATTATGCCCGTGGATCTCTTTCTCCCTCCCTCTTTGTCTCCCCCACCTTCTCCCGTTCCCCTCCTCCTCCCTTTCTCTTTCTTCTCTGATGTCTATAGTTCCTTCATTTTTGTAAATATTTATTTATTTATGCAAGTAAGAACTGGAGTACAGGCCAGAGATGCGGGAGTGGGGGAGTGAGAGGACTCACCCAGAGACAGAGTGGGGAGCAGAACAGTGGATCCACCGAAATACACTGCTGAGGGGAGCAGCAGGCAAGGCAGGAGAGGTCTGCTACGCCATGTGGGTTGCTCCCTGGCTGGCTGGGGATCGAACTTATGCTGCAGAGGCTGTGGATAGCTTCATAAGTTGCTCTTAACCCCTTGCACCACCAGGGAGGTCCTGTGGTTCCTTTCAAGATTAGTGCTTTATGCTTTTTGATTTGCAGTGTTCCTAGTGCTCATGTCTTGACTTAGAATGAAAACAGCAGCTGATGGTGGGAAGCTAATTATTCTAGGTTCTTAGGAGCAGGAATTAGGGGTTCAAAAATGTTGTGAGTCTGCAGCACTCAGAATTCCCAAGTTTCCGGAGATTTGCCCACACAGGCAGCATCTTCAGACTCAGCCTGGACACTTCCACCTGGATTCTATGATGTTACATACAGAAGGCCCAGTATCAGACTTCTTGCTGGGGTGGCCAGTGCAACAGAGGACAGAGTGAGACAGGTATTTACTGGTCAGTAGCCCCTCTTATGACATGCCGCTGACAGTCAAACCCGGAGAGGGGACAGGCAGAATAGAAACATCCCAAAGGTCATCTCATTCTTGTTGCCTTCTTTTCATGTTCTCTTGCAAACTCTTCAACTTCCTCGCCATGTCAGTCCCTGACAAGGGGGAAGTGAGCAGTAGTCTGGGGTAGACATAGTTTCTCTTCTATGATAGTTCATGGGTATCTTGGATTTTCTGAGAGTTTTGAATTCACTCACTAGAAAGTCAATTCCATGTGTGAGTTGATAACATCCAAGTCTTATACCTACCACTGAGGACCCCTCTCCTTCCCTCTTGTCTTGCTTCAGAGGTACACTACGAACCTTAGTCAGGGTATCATGGGGAAAGCTGAGGGCCCTGGCAATGGCATGAGTCAGAGTAGAGGAACAGAGTTCAATGCAGTAAGGAGGTTTCGAGGTGCCCCTTGCTGCTCTTAAGGGCATGAGACGTAATAGCGCCTACATGCCTTGTCATCCCAGGAGGGAACTGGCCATGAAGTCTTGATCTGGGTTCCCAAGCAAATATGATTCTGGGATTTTCTGGATGGTCTACCTGCTCCATTTCTTATGTCTTCCACCTCTTTCAGCTTTCTTCTGAGCCCAATCTCTCTTCTGAGTGATCACTTCCTTCCAGGTTGCTGGAAAGTCAGGGCCATATTGCTGTAAGGAAGCTGTGGTTGAGCACCTTAGCTGGCAACAGTGGCACAGATCACCTGTAACCTGTCTGCTTCGGGATCACAAGTCCTGAAATACCACTAGGTTGGGATTTCTCCTCTTCCTTGATCACTCCCTGGACACAGAGAAATCGTGTGTAAAAAAAAAAAAAAAAAGAAAAGAAAAAAAGAAAACCAAAAACAAAAAAAACACCTCCTTACTGGCAACAAAGTTTTGCTTCATGAAGTGGGCCAGACTGACCTGGGCCCACCTGAGGCTCGACCCCTCCAGGCTTGACTATTCTTTTTTTTTCCTTTTGCTATTCTGCTTTGCTGATTTCCATTCCCCTGTCTTCATGCTAGCTAATATGTTCTTCTACTTCATCCAACCTGCTGTTGAACCCCTTGAGTGTACTTTGTTTTTCAGTTCAGTTATTATATTCTTCAACTCTCTAACTCTCATTACATTTTCTCTCTTGTAATTCTCTTACATTTTCTCTCTCTTTGTTGAAGTCTTCGTTGTGTGAGCGGAAGGAGGTGCGTTCAGTATACCCCTGCACTGCTATGTTGAACAAGTCCCCCAATCTGTTGTTTTGAGCTGCTAGGTCTGGGGATAATTTGGTACACAGCAATACATAGTAGTTGGCATCAGCCATTCCCTGTTCTTCCCCAGTCCGTCCCCTATTTATCACACATAGATCCTCAGAGGAGTCATCCCAGAAATGCCTGAGCATGTCTAATGGCACTCAGGTGGGTCTAAATCACTGAGGTGCCCATTTATGTTACTGACTTTGCTTTAGAGGAGGTACTTCCTGACCTGTCCTTCGATTCAGGGTGAGTCACCCAATCTAATGTCTGGGTATGTATTCGCAAACCCAGAGAAAACGGTGTAACAGGAGCCACTTCGTGAGTATTTGAAGCCAAAAGAACGAGGATTGCCTGGTGGCCAGAGCCCTAGTCTTCACCTGAAAGATGGTGGGCCCTCTGCCTCCACCATCCCCTTTGTCAGCCAGAGAACTAATCATCCTCCCACTGATGCTCATTGTTACTCAACTTCCCTAGATGTTCTGGAAGCAGCCTTATATGAAAGAGACTGGATCAGAAAGGTTTGCTCAAAGTCAACTAGATTGATCAGATTGATTTAAAAAAAATAACCATTACCCAGTTTATTTCCATTGTGAATGTCGTAGACACTAAAGAGATAAACATCTACTTTGCCCAAGTGCTTGGTGTCTTGTGGTTTCATAAATCAGTGTGTGTGAGTGTGGGTATGTATATAAGATAAAGATGTGGGAAATGAAAACTGAGATTTGATGAGGGAGCTACAAGACAGAATATGCTTTTTGGGAAAATCTAATTCTGAATTCAGCGCCCCTAGTTGTCTCCTGAAGGAACGACCTCCCCACTCTCTGAATAGCCATGCGCTGCTCTGACGGCCGTCACTACGGGGAATTGCTGTTCATGGTGAACCATCTCACTAACTCCCTAAAATTGTTAATGAGAAGGTAGCCCTGTGTTTTAGGTCCTTTATTCAATAATGAAGCATTCTGGCTCTTTTTCTCTCTGGGGTTGTGGTATTTGTTTCCATAGCAACCAGTAGCTCTCTTGAAGTTGGAGAAAAAGGACATCTTTCTTTCTGAAAGGGTCATCAGGCCACCCTAGCTATGTACCCAATAGGCAGAACCCACTGAAATTGGGAGACAATAATGGAAAAGAGGATGGATGGAAGAGTAGAAAAAAGAAGGCATTAACTCCTCCGAGATAGCCTGTCTGTGATGGTAAATAGCATGAAAGGAACAATATCATCTCGTGAATGCACACAGCCATCTCCCAGGTCCTCCGAAAAGCTATAGGTTTGCACAACCTTCACTTTCTCAGGGCTGCCTTCCAAGGGTTTCAAGTCCTCATTTGCTTTCCTTCATTCTCACTCCAACCTGACTTTGAATGGAACTCTATCCATTCTATTGAAAAGCACATCCAGCCCCAGTTCTTAAGTGCAGCTAGCCAAGGTTTCAGGCAAACTCCCGTCTTATTTCCCCCCAAAAGGAGACCATATATCAATTCTAAGTGAAGTCAGATCAGATTTCCTTCAACTTCAGGATAAACCTGTTGGGATGGTGTCACTTTCCCCAACCAGGAGAAGGCAAAGCTCTTGATGTTACACTACTGGGAGCTTAAGGCTCAGGTACCACAGAGGGGCTTGGTTTCCATCCCAGGTGGCCATGCTCCCCACTGAAACCCAGGGTCTCTCTTGCTGAGGAGGAAGAGGAGAAACAGGTGTTAGGGAGCAGCATGTATGTATGTTTCTGAGGTGGCAACTTGAGGGCCCAGAGTGTTCCAAATACAGCTCTCTCCAGATGCCAGGGTGTCTGGCATGGCCCCACCACTTGCAATAAAAAAAATAATAAAAGATTGAAAATCATTAAGATTAACTTTGAGCTTAATCCCCTACTTAGGTTCACAGAGACGGAGGCTTATCCCAGCTCTGTCGCTCGACACCCCGTCCCCTGTGAGAAAACCCACCAACGGTGCTGGGGTGCGCTGGGTGGATGGCCCCTTGCGCAACAACCAGAGGGGCCTTGGGGAGCCTTTTGAGATCAAAGTCTATGAAATTGATGACGTGGAGCGGCTGCAGCGACGAAGAGGAGGCAACAGCAAGGTGAGTCACCTCCTCCCCATACAAGCGACAGCCCCCAGCCAGTCCCCTGGAGGGTGGGGGGGGCGGTATTGGGGTGGGGGGGCGTGCCCTGTGAGGACAGCTCAGACCAGAGGCTTCCCAGCAAGGGAGGGCCAGGAAGTAGCAGCAGCCCTGTCCTAGCAGGAGCACCTTTGGCCCGGACTTCAGAGGGCTCCATGCAACTCAGAGGCTGGGAGAGCTGTTACTCTGGGGGCTTTTCTGAGCCCAGCTTGGAAGTCAATCTGCTTTCTAGATTTAAGAAATGCCTGTGATAGGCTTACGCTGTGGTTGGGTTCTCTGAGCTGACTCTGTCAGGGCAGAAATTCAGATGGAATTACCTGGATGCCCCCAGACTTCCCAGTAACCAGTTCCTTTTGCACTGACTGGATGCACAAGCCTTGCTTTGTAGAAGAGGATGTGTGCACAGTATCTGAGCAGAGGGCTCTGCTTTTCTCATCTGCCTACCAGGAGGTCATGTGTTTCAATGCAAAACTGAAAATTCTGGAGCATCGCCAGCAGAGAATCGCCGAGGTCCGAGCCAAATATGAGTGGCTGATGAAGGAGCTGGAGATGACCAAACAGTATCTGATGCTGGATCCCAACAAGTGGCTCAGTGAATGTAAGCACTGGGGTTCATTTCCATCTTTGCAACTACGGGGTTCTCCAGCTCACAGTGGCGTCAGAACCCAAGGCCTTTGTGCCCCCGAGACAGTCTCTGTCTGGAGATAGTTGCAAGTATGCAATGCCACCCTCCCGGGGGCAAAGGGGAGGGGCCAGGGCAACAAACAGGTGATGGGTATTGCTCTTGCAAGATTATTTCTTACGTGTCTCAGTGCAAAGAACCTGAAAATGAGATTTCCCCCCCTGTGTGTGGCAGATCACCCAGACATGAGGCTGTACTATAACTCTGCTCCTAGGCCACAGAATCACATTGAATATCCAGCCTGAAATAGACAAGAACTTACAGAGCTCTTAATAGGGTAGAATGTGCAATCCTAGAAAAACCTCGAACGAACCCAAAAAGCCAGAAAAACATTTCTGAGTGAAAAAATAACATTCACAGTGTTATTTCCATTTAATAGAAAGCCCAGGATGACAGTAACCATCTAATAACAATTCAGAACAATTTTGCTCTCTTTGAAAGACAGATTCAATTGTCTCTTATTTATTTGTTCCTAGCCATTCCATTTACCACAAAATAAAGCTCAAATCTGGTCCCAACTTTTATATTGCTATGGGGCCCGATGCTGGAAGACGTCATGTGTGAAATAAAGTCCATCACCGCCACGGAAATTCCTTTCCCTCCCTTTTCTGTCTGACACTTGCCAGTCTTCTCCCAGGCTTCTCAGCTTCCCTGTGCCCCCTCTCTTCACGACTCTCCCTGGCACAGAATATCCCCCCCAAACCTCCCCCACCACCACCCCCCACCCATCACCAGTGTGTCCTCATGGTGGCGTGGGAGAGGAGCAATGCAGGGCGTTTGACTTAATAAACTTAGGGTAAAAAGATACTGGGTGAAGGAGAAAGTGAGAATTCCTCAGCAGCTGCGTCCTGCTCTGACAACAGTCTGGCTTCAAGTGGTTTCATTTCCATAAGAATGAGGTAATAAGTCCCCCAGCTCCCAGTAGCTCCTTGGGTTTCTGCGAAGATAATGTGAAGAGGGACAGAGAGCAGTGTGACCAGCCTGTGACTGGCCTGCTGATGCGCACCATCTGCACCATCTGCGGCCAGGACCACAATAATGCAGACCCATGCTGGAGGCCGGCTTTCCCAGGTACCAGCAGTGGGGTCTTGGGAAGAGGTGTAACCTCTCTGAGCCTTGATTTCCTTATCTGCAAAATAGAAAACATAATGTTGCCAATTTCACAGGATTGTTAGGAGGAGTAAAGAAGTTACTGCCAGTCACATGCATATTATACTGGCCCATGAGGAAGGCTCAATAAGAAGAAGTAGAGTTATTATTGTCCAGAGTTCAACTAAATAGATGTTCTCAACAAGAAACATTTTCTTAGTATGTGCTTGCATGATACCCTGAGTTAGTTCTTCTGTTAGAAATCTGGACAAAGACATAAACTCCTGCTTTGGAGGGTATTTCCATTCAGGACACTGATGGGGCAGACAAGAGGAAGGAAAGCGTCTCTGAGCAGGGCTCAGCATGGGAGCCTCACGCTTATCCTGCTCCCACCTGTGGATACCCTTTTTCTTCTTTGGTGACTCCCCAGACACTCAAAGACTCCAGGGACAACCATTCCCGTGGTCCCCTTTATTTTGACTGTTTTCATCAAAATCTAATTTTTTGAGAGCTGTCTGTGTCTCAGGCAGACTCGAAAATTGTCTTCATCTTACAAAGCCACATTTTTTTCCTGGGAGGCAGCAAACATCAGTGCACGTGTAGATGCTTCCAGGAAACAATCGCTTCCTTCCTGCCTTTGTGCATGTCAGGAATCAGGGATTTCCTTTTTAGTTTTCTATTGCTGCTCTGCTTGGGTGAGAAACATTGCTCTTTCTTGGAACATGCTGATCCATTCTTGTGCTTCATCTAGTCTACAGCTGAACCTCTCTATTAGATTTTTTTTAAAGATTTATTTATTTATTTATTTATTTGTCTATTTATTTATTTATTTATACATGCACTGGGTACAGTCAGAAGCGCGGGAGGGCGAGAGAATTCACCAGGGCCAGAGCGGGGAGCAGAGCAGGCAGAAGGACCGAAGTACACTGCTGAGGGGAGCAGCGGGCGGCAGGAGAGGTCTGCGCGCCATGCGGGACCCTCCTCCGGTGGCCGGGGAGCAGCCGGGGATCAAACCGGTGCTGCAGAGGCCGCGGGCAGCTTCGCAACCCAGCGCTCAACCGCTGCGCCACCAGGGAGGCCCCTATGAGATTTTTTAGGTCAGTTGTTCTGGTCTCCAGTTGTGTGACTTTCTATTTGGTACTTTCTTGTATTCTCTCTTTGTTGAAGTTCTCACTGTGTTCGTCCATTCAGGGAGCAGCTTTGTGGCCATTATTTTGAATTCTAGATCAGATAGTTTGCTTTTCTCCATTTCATTAAGGTCTCTTCCTACAGGTGTGTTCATGTTATATATCAGGCAAAACAGATCCCTCCCGCAGTCTTGAGAGAGTGGCATTAAACCTCATCATTCAACTGTGCCCTAATTCCTGGTTGTCTTTCGAACCTTTGTGGTTGTTCAGGCAGCCTGGTTTATTCTTGATACGTCCCCGTTGTTGAGGGTGTGCCAAGACCTGTCAGGAGAGGTCTTTTTTAGTACCTACTTTCAGACTGGTTGGTAGTCAGACCCTGGGATAGCAGCAGTCGCATTTGGCCGCTGTCTTAAAAACTGTGGGTTGTAGGATCCTGTAGGTCTCCAGAGCTGGCAATATGGATGCCTCCCTTGGGGATAGCTACAAGAATCAGGGTTCTAATGAGTGTATAATTTGATTTCTGTGACATACTGGTGAGCTGTAGTGAGATCAGCAGAGTGCAGAGATCACATGCCCTGGCTTACGTAGCCCTGAGGGCTCCTCCAGCTTTGGCAAGACTAGGGCCAGCAGGCGATGAGCCACATTCCATGGAGCTGGCTTAGCAGGCAAGAGTGACCTGTGGCTCCAGCAAGATGTGAAGGTGCACTAAGACAGCACTTGTTCCTCTGGTTCTACTACAGTAGAGTGGAGGCACAAAAATGGCACCCACCAGTGCCTCTGTCCTGGGAGAAAATTCTAACAGACCCTTGGCCCCCAGCAGACACTGTAAGCTCATGGGTCTCTTTCATTCATGATTTAGGTGCTGGTTCAAATTGCTACCTTTGTGCTAGTCCTAGTTTTAGTGAGTTTGTGTTTTTTAAAAGTTGACTCTCTGTTCCCTGCTTGGGTCTATAGGTCAGGAGCCCTACTGGTCTTCTTTTCTTTAAAAAAAAAAAAAAAAGATTATTTATTTAAGCATACAATAACCGGGGTCCAGGTCAGAGGTATGGGGCCTGAGAGGATTCACCCGAGACGAAGTGGGGAGCAGAACAGGTGGATCCACTGAGATACACTGCTGAGGGGAACAGTAGGTGAGACAGGAGAGGTCTACTGTGCCATGTGGGTAGCTCCCTGACCAGGGATCAAACTCAGGCCACAGTGGCTAGTGACAGCTTGATAGTGCTGAGACTTTAACCCCTGCGCCACCAGGGAAGCCCTATTGTTTTTCAAGTGTAGGTCTTTGGTGGGAAGGGGTGCCTGATGAGGGGCACGAATCCTCAGGAAAAGGCCTGTATTTATAAGCTCTCTCCCTTTGTGTGTTACCAGTTGCAAGTTAAGGTTTCTTGGTGACACTACCTCTAGCTGAGTTGGTAAGGTCCCCTTGTCCCATATTGTAAGGAGCTCTACAGCTCATTCACACACTTTTTTTTTTTTTTTGTGGGACCCTCACCCAGGTCCAGGAGAGGATGGTCCCAGCTTGCTAGGGATCGAAGGAAGAGGATGTTTCACTCTGTCCCTAAACATTAGGAGCATCATCTGGGTCCTAAACCTCAGCTTACCTTCTGAGTACAAGGAACCTTAAATATGAATATAGATTTATCATCCGCCTGTTTCCTGTGCTAGGGTGTGCCAGAGACAAGGTCAGTTCTCTTCATTTGCTTAGGGAGGCAGCTGTGTGAAGGACTCACCGGAAAGGAAGATACTTCCTATCATTGGCAGAGATATAAATGCCACTTAGGTAAGGCTTGAAGACTGACTTATTTTGTGGCCAACAAAGAAGAATGTGCTGATAGAGTGTCACAAATCCTGTGACAGAGGTGAATAGAGCTCGAAAGTTACCTTATCCCTCAGTGTATCCTCAGTAGAATGCTGGGCTGTATGATGAAAATGATCACCATTATAACTGAGCAGTGAACAACGTTCCGTTCTCAGCCTGAGAGACACAGCGTCCGGTGGCCAGGCAGGCACATGACGCCTGGGGCCTGGGACCCGGGGTGGGTGCAGTGCCGCGGCTGTGGGCTGGGCCGTGCAGACCGGAGGTCATCTCTCCCCACCTTTTCTGCATCTCCATCAGGCTTCTCCTTCTTTGCAGTTGACTTGGAGCAGGTTCTGGAGCTGGATTCCCTGGAGTACCTGGAGGCGCTCGAGTGCGTGACGGAGCGCCTGGAAAACCGCGTCAACTTCTGCAAGGCCCACCTCATGATGATCACCTGCTTTGACATCACCTCCAGGCGCCGGTGAACAGAGCCCTCACCCTGCCAGGCCCCTCACTCCCGGGACTCCACAGCCAGCCACACGCCGGGCCTTGGTGCTGGCAGCGTCGAAGACAGCGGAAGGAGGATGAAGGTTCGTGGCAAGTCTGGAGTGAGCGTTGAGTGGAAGGCAATGTTTTCTTTTGTTTCCCGTAGGAAAGGTGTAACCACAAACATGCATGGGAGGAGAAGATGATGGGAACCCCAAAGGATGTGGAAGCCCCCTGAGACTGAAAAAGCACTTTGAGGAATTTTCAAGAACTTGCTTGTACATAAGAACTGCTGGCAAAGAGACCTCACTCTTCTCTTGGTTTTGTGAGAAAGGGCAAGGGTGGACGTAGGATCGCTGTGGAAAGTAAAATCAAAACCACCACAAAAAATTACCCAGAATGACTGATTAAGTGCCTTGCAAATCTTTATTATTATCCAAACACTTATGTTGATACTTTCTTGTGTACAGATGGTGCTAGTCAAGTTGTAAACAACAACAAAACCAACAAAAAGGAAAATCAAACACGTTTTTTGAAATGTATTTACAGCTCGTTTTCCTTTGATGTTTTATTCTATTTCTGACTTGCTGTTTCTAAGTAAGTTGTGTTTGTAGACCTATTTCCTAATCGGTATTGCATATGAATAAATGTTAACTGTCTTTTATGGTTATTCTGGTAAGGACACTCAGCAGAACATAGAGACCACACGGGCACAAGCTAGTGTGTTTCCAAAGAAGGTTGAGCAGGAGAGGCCCCTCGTCACATGGGCACAGGTGCCCTCAGCGGCCAGACTGGGAATGTGGGTCATGAGAGCTGGAGAGGACTGGAGCAGAGGCCGAGATGGGGCCTTTGTGATCGGGGTCCTGTCTCACCCAGTGGGTGGGATGTTTGTTCCTTCTACAGTCTCCCCGCCAAGTCCTGACACACATGCTTGTTCCTTTACCCACAGGCCCCGGGTTTCTGTGGCCCTCCAAACATTTTTCACCCTTTTTTATCAGTTAATTAAACTTTCTTTCTTAAATCGTTGTAGTCCCCAAGGTTTTCCTGCCACCGATGCCCCTGGACCCATCACCACATCCCCTTGTGTCCTTCCTCTCCTCTTCTGATCCCTCCCTCTTCCTCCTCCTTTGCTGTTTGCCTCAGTTCAAAAAAGACAAACTCGTGTATTTTGTGGATGAAGCTGGAATGGATCATATTGGGTTTTATCACAAAGACTTTGGATTGAAAGTTTGAGCCAGGTCAGCACAGCCATATCTTTTGGCTCTCTTTTTTTGTGAATTTACTAAAGCAGGGGATTTGTCCCAATTTAGAGACCTTCACAGGCTTGTACATGCAGAGGCCCCAACTAGTGTTGGTGTGGAACAGGAAAGGATGTTGGTATTGCATAAATTTTTTGTTGTGCATAGTGCTGCTTAAATGCAAGACATTTTCAGTTGTCCCACGTCCCAAAGCCTCCTGGCCAAGAAAACACATGTGTGTCTCCTCAATCTTGGCACCTGAAAGCGGAGAAAGCACACCACACACTTCTGGACAGACAGAGCACAGAGTCAAATGCGTGTGAACATATAGGTCTTGACTCCCAGCAGCTCAGTACCTCATTCACACATTAAGATTCTCATCCCACCACAGCTCCCTTAGAGCTTATCAGATCCATTTTACTGATGGGAATGTGAGGCGGGGTGGTGAGGGGGCTGCCTGGTAACACGGTGAGGCAGCCCCCTTGAAGGTCAGGGCCAGGCCCCAGAAGCTTCCCACTGAGGTGCTAAGGCCTTTACTATTTGGTTTTACCCTCCCATGCAGCAGAGCTCCAGGATACTATTTTCAGTCTCCACTAACCAACTCCTCAGAACCAGCTGCTCCCCAAGGCAAAGAACCTATACCTTTCCTTGCCAATGCTCTTCTGAAGCACTGTTGACTAAAGAGCCAGCTAGGCTCAGTAGAACACAGTAGAGGAGCCTAAGTTTGGGGACCAGGGTCAGAACAGCCCTCAGCCCTACAGGGAAGTCAGCTCCATAGACTGGAAACCAGCTCCGTGGGGGCCAAACCCTGCTTTGCTCCTAAACAGAGGTGCCCAGAGAAGGCAGGCTCGCATCTGACACCTGAACAGGCTCAAATGTGGTGAAAGGTTGTCCCTTCTCATTAACAAGTGTGTCTGCACGTTGTAAAGCAGAGCCTCCCCCAGATCCTCAACGTTCACCCCAGCATGCAGGTGGTCCCCTGTGCCTGGGCACGGTCTCATAGCACTTGGCTGGGTGGGTTTATTTCAGAGCAACACTGGGGAAGTTTTTGAGCCCCAAAGGAGGCCAGTCTTTTGAGTTTGCATATTCCACTTGGCAGCCCTTTTGGTTACTGATCTGAAATATATCACTTCATGAAAACCTTATATTTGGGATTGTCAAAGGTGAGTATTAATAGTTTTAACTGGAAGTAGATTCACCTGATGAGTATCAGTGTTATTAGCTTCTGCCCATGGCACACTTCCGGGAGGCCAGAGGTCACTTACTGGACTGACTGCCATGGGAGGCCATTGCTAGGGCCCCGGCACTTTTCCTTGGAGCAAACCTAAGTGGAAACATCTACAGAGATTTAAAATCTCTATCAGTTGAGTTGCTGTTGGCCATGGTGTAGAACAACTTGGCATGGAGACAGCCCTTTTGGCTTTTTCTTCAAAAAAAAAAAAAAATCCTAAATAAGCTGAAAACCTCTTAATGCACCAGGTATTAATTAACATTGTAAAGAAACCATGAATTTTATGTTCTGATGTGTGTGCTCCTGGTTCTACCTCTGAGTTGACTCAACAGTGATAAACTTCAGGCACAAAGGAAAGCCATCTCATCACTGTGCCGAAGCAGTCAGCCCCAGTAACAAAAATCTCCCTCCAGGGACCAGGGCTGAGGGCTTTTCAGTTCTCCTCTTGAGTTTGGCCTTGGATAAGCCAAGAAGGAAAAGGAATGTCAAAGAACACATTTCCATTTCATTACCAAAAAAAGGACCAGATAAATGTTTATTTGAAATTGACATTTAGCCACATGAGCCTGATTCCTTGTCTGAAATCTGTTCCTCTCCATATAGTTTAGTGTGAGGTGGAAGCATTAGCAGCAGAACAAAATTCAGATCCAGAAAAGGGCAATCGTGGTGGTGTTTCCCTGGAGTAAATCTATATTACTTTCATGATGGGGTCTCACGCTGCACCAGTGAAAGTTTGCTTTATCCTGCTCTTCTCATCCTGGAATTCCCTGTATGTCAAGGGAAGCTGTCGATAGCTTTCATCTCTTCCAGACTTGCAATCAGAACACCTTATCTGTTGTTTCATCTCCAATTGCTATTCTGAACATGGGAAGCTTGAGATGCAAAAACAGATACCATTGGCGCAGGTGGGGTGTGGCAAGGGAGGCCAAGGTGGGTGGGGATAGGCCCTGGGCAAAAAGCCAGGCGGCCGGGCACGGGGACCTCAGCAGGCAGACATCTGGCCTAGTTTGCCATAAGTTAGCCTCAACCTTGAAGCCCGGGTTCCTGGAAAGTGGTAATGACTTTGCTGTAGCCACAGATATCATCCAGAGTGATGGTGCAAAAGGCCCAACACAGGTGCATCTTGTACTGGTTATTGCACCTTTGTGTGTGTTAAATAAGCAGTTTTTCTTTGGGCTTCAGACTCTAATGCTGATCAAGAATTTTGGTTACCCCAAAGGCCCTTATCAGGCTACTTGAGAGCGGCTGTCTGACCTGGGCTCCTTGGGGCTGCAGGCCAGGCTTGTGAGAACCCGTAGATGTGCTAACCACAAACTCAGTCGTCTGTGTCATCTGCCACCATGGCTCTGTAATCTGACTTCCAAAATAACCATGTATGGAGTGTTTTTAAGTTCCTTAGACCAAAAAGGATTGAGAAATTACTAAAGATGAGTTCACTTCAAAATTGAAACCAGAAGAGTTCATGAATTTATTCATTGTTCTTTCCTGATGGAATATTAGAAGTTCTTTTAGCATGTTCAAAAAGGCTTCCCCCCTTTTAAAGACAATATATTTTAAACCCCAACACCATGCTAGTAAGAAACAGGTTGAAAGTCCTGCAGGAGACTAGTTACGCTGAATACACCGTCATTCCCCCATCCCTGCTGCTGCCCAGCTTGCCACGGAGAGGGTCACATCAGCACTGCCGCACATCACACCTGCACACAGAAAAGCCAGCCCACTCTTCTCTGTGCCAAATGAAGCAAAGCCCACTCACTGACACTGTTAATATAATTTTGAGGGGCTTGGTAGAAGGGCAGGTGGCAGAAATACAGTGTTCGTTTGGATTATAATACCTCTTTCTCCACCTCCAGCAAATACGTGTCAACATTTGTGGGTAAAAACTCAAGAGACTATGTCACTTTGCAATCTTCCTAACAACAACTCTTATTTTTCTTAATTACAAACTGTTTGTAGTTTCCAGATAAAAGTATAATTCCAATCCTGGAGAGGCTCTTACCACTCAACCTCCTCTTCTCAGAAAAAGTTTTTTTTGAAAACCTTGCAGGTAGTCTGCCCATCCCTAAACAAACGATTCTGCTTTGTGGGTGGCCCTACCCAGAACCTGAGGTGATGTCATAATAGGGAAACAGCGGCGCTTGAGGCAGCGTCAACCTCGTTGCATGTAATTAATCTTCTCTAAATCACATGTCCTCGGTGCCCACGTGGGGAGGAGTGAGTGCTGAAATGCTGACACACAGAGATTTTATAGAGACACAGAAATTACCTTTAAAACTAAAAAGGCTCACTGCCTCATAGCCCACGCTGCTAACCAACATCTCACGTCATCATAAACAATTTATGAAGAAGTTATATAATTTGTGTGTAAACTCAGGATGTTGTTTTATAGCACTGCTTGTGTTTTATGGTTTATGCATCATGTTTGGAAGTGCTATCCAAGTGTTATGCATCGAAGTATAAGTTTAGTGGATCTGTCTGTGACTCGTTTTCCCCCTCACTCTAGTGAGATCTGTTTGCAGAGATGTGGGCCAGGGAGAGGAAAGCTAAATTAGGAGAAAAGGGGTTAGTGTGGGGTCCTCACAATACAGTTCAAAAAATCCAGCTCTTTCTATAGTAAACAGCTTAAGGGGAAGAAGTACTTTCATCTTGAATTTGATGGTAATGGGCTTGGAAATCAGCCTCCACAGGCCTAGGTGAGAGAAGATCTGGCCTCCTCCTGCTACTTTGACACTGAATTTCTGGAAAAGTGTGGATGGTATCAGGTTCCTACATTTCCCTACGCCTCCCCACCCAACCACCCCTAGCGCTACTGAAGGGAGTTTGGAAAAGTAAAGTTCCTTACCTTGGATATATATATTACCTGTTTTTCCTGGAGAAACCAAAGCACTTTAGTGAGTCTTACAACCCGTAATACTTAAGGCGTCTTGTCCCCTCACTGGATCCCTGAGAGTCAGGGAGGGGCTGGGGTCCGTAGTCTCATTTGAGAGGCAGCTAAACCTAGGAGAAAAAGCCTTGAGGTAGGAGACAGGAAGTGGGTGCCAGGTCTAGTTTCCTAACTAGCTATGCAACCTTGGGCAAGTCACGTTATTTTGCTGGGCCTCAGGCTCCCCAGTGGAAGATTGGGGGTCATCATAGCTGCCCTTCTGGCATAGTGTAAAGAGAAAATGGTATAACTGATGGGGAGTGCTTTGAAGAAATTAACATTCTGTATAGGAGCTGGGGGTCATCGTTTATAGATGAAGAAACTGAAGTCAATAGTCAGTGATTGACCCAAGTTCACAGAGTACTTTTTAGCAGACTGGGACTGAGTGCAGCCTCTTGGACTCTCGCCAGGAGGGGCCCTGTGCCGGGTATGTGTATATGCTGTGTACTGATGCGTGTGCACAGGACGCAGACAGATGCGTGTGTTCAGAAGGCCGGGGCAGTGCTGGAAGAGCAAGGACAGATGGCCTGAGTCCAGCTTCAGTTCTGACAGTCGTCCTATGGCCTGGGAGATATTCCCTAACTTCTCTGGAACTTGGTTTTCTGATCTGTAAAATGAGGACATGTGCTGAATGATCTTTGTGGTTTCCTCAGCTCTCGTAGTGTATGTATGTATATAATAAATGCTTATCTGTAGAAATGAGCCCATTTGAAAGATAAAGACAAGGCCTGCTCAAGTGCATTTATTGTGTCAGAAACAGCAACTTCACAAACAAGTTCTTAAAATCTTGTTTTTTGGAAGTCCATGGTAGTATTCAATGCCATTGTTTTAAACGCATTGTTTTACTGGGTGCCATTTAAAAAAATTAAGTTCTAGCTTACAAGTGTTTCCTAATATTTTTTTTTTTTTAATAAAGTTCACTTGTTAAAGTCAGAAATTGAACGATTCTGTACTTGGGCAGGTCCCAGCAGCCTCGTTACAAACAGGCTGGTTTGTGTGTATGGGCCTTTACATAGCTATATCAAAGTTAGCTCTTGGCTTGATCATGGTAAATATGAGCAGGCTACCTGGAGAACCATCCAGAAAAGAAAGTTATAGTTCTCACAAACTGGTGACATGAATCCATTACGCTGTGTGTCATTTCCAGTGTGAAGACATTGTTTGCTGGCTACGATCTCTGACTTTTTGTGGCATATGAGGTGTAAAATGTTGTCAAAAAAGAATCTGGTGTTTAAAAAGAATCAAACTCTGGTGGCATTAAATGTTCACTGTTATTCTACTCAGAGTCATGAATTTCTCTGCACCCAAGTGATCTTTCCATATGGGAGGGAAACTATTCACAGCCTGGGTGGGTAGGGTGGGAGAGCGGGAGGCTGTGGGGGTTCTTCTCATTACAGTGGAGCAATGCCTTGGCCTAGGTCTTCCTCCCAGCTTCCAAGGACTTCTCTAGTGGAAGCCTGTCTAGTCCCACTGGCCTCCATGGTGCCCAAAAGCTCAGCTGTAGGATGGGTTTTGGAGTGGAGGCAGAGTCATGCAGCTCCAGCCCTGTTCTGCATCCCTAAGAGTCAGCTGCTAGGCTGGTGATCACACCTGAAGAGGGCCGAGAAGTTGAGTGTTAATGTGATGTTTTTATTGAAGAGTGACTCTCCCTCAGTTGTTGTCTCTGGGCTTGTATAGGTTAGAACCATTCTACATCACTGCGGTTGCTCGGACCTGGACGCAAGGGCCCATTTTTACAATGGTGCTTGTCTCAACTCTATTTTTTTTTTTAAGATTTATTTATTTATGCATGCAAGAACTGGGTACAGGCCAGAGGTGCGGGAAGGTGAGAGGATTCACCAGAGACAGAGTGCTTGCCTCAACTCTCATTGGGCATATTTAGACAAGCAAGCAAAAGCACACCAGAAAGTAGAAACAGGTCTCCTAGGAAACCCCCGCTCTCAAGGACACTCTCAAGCCCTCAACCAGTGATGTTTCCTCCTGAGCAGCAGCGAGGCACTTCCTAAGATGTGGTGCCACATCCATTCAGTCAATGGAGTGTCTCACAATCCCAAGAGATAGTGCCCTGGGCCACTCAGAACAAACACCCCACCCCCTGAGGGGCTGCTAGGAATCCTGCCTCATCCTCTGCTGAGGCTTGGAGAGGTGCGCCTCACAGACCCTGCTCATGTCTTCCCTAGATCTCATGCCAGCCCTTCTGGGCCTCCATATGGGAGGGTGCTTGGGTGACCAAGCACAAGCCATGTGTTCTTAAGAAGCCATCAAGATTTTCCAGAAATAATGCCTTCCCTAAAGAAGCAAGAGGCAGTGCTCTCCAACTCTGCCCACTCCCCTGGAAGAAGGGAGACCAGAAAGATGGGCCTAGAATCGATTTTAACCCTCTTATGCTTCCCTTAAGGGAGAACCACACAAATATATCATCTTAGTTGTATTTGTCACTTAAGCCATTAAACGCTCAACATTATTCATACTTACTTTTATCCTTTCACACTGTCTTCATCTCAGGAGGACATTAGTGCTCTCTCCACTGGGACACCAGAGTACATGCTTCCACATGCCCCTGGGCGCTGGAAGGAAATGAAAACACAAAGCAAGGTGATACCTTTCTTCCATCAATAGCAGGTTGGGCAATCCCTGTACCTGACTGGAGAAAATACCTGAGTCTCACCTGTGTCTGCTGCAGTGTCTGATGCATTCATTTGCTCTTCGAATAGACAGTGCCCTTGGAGTATAAGTGCATTGGCCTGTGAGTGATTGATGTGCTCCTAGCACCCCTGGGTGTCTCTTATTCTTCTATATCCCCAGCATCTACAACAGAGTCTGGATGAATGGACTCTCAAACATGGTTGAATGATGATAGAAAAGATCACCTTTGGGAAAAGAAGAGGGAACAGGAAAAAGCTGAGCAGGAGCTCATTCATTCTATTAATGAAGCAGGAAGTTAGGAAATGGATACAGAGAGTAAATTAAGAACAGGGGGCCCCAAGCTCAAGCCCATTTATCAATCTGAACAATCAGTGGGAACCAGAGGGGCACCCCTGCCCCAAGTCCAGGTGTCTCAACCCCTTTTATTGAACTGAATGGGGAGCAATCAATGGGAATCAGGGTGCCCCCAACCTAATTAAAAATGGAATGTTCGGAACACCAAGACAGTAACATGATGCTGAAGCAACAGACCCAAGCTAGCTTTGGGAAGGAGGGCTGGAAGGTAGCATGGGAAACTCAGGGGGGGATGGTAGCCTGGGAGACCCCACAGGCACCAACCAATCAGCAAGAGACAACACAGAGACATCCAATGGTCAAACCCCCACCCTGGCCCACTATTCCTATATAAACTCCTGCTTCTCACCCCCTCAAGGGCTACCCTCTGGGAACTACTTCTCAGAGAGATTTCTGATCCTTCTTCTTGCTAATTAATAGATCTCTTGCTTTGCTGCCACTCTAACTCTGGCCCTGAAGTTGACTACTTTCCTCATCTGGAGACAAGAATTGAGAGAGACCTGGGTGTCCCAGGACCCTCAAGGCCCCATTCATTAAGATTTCAAGTTTCCCTAACAAAAGAATTAAAGGTCTATATTTGCAAATGCCTAGGTGGGATTAAGGCCTAATTCACAACAGAGCAGAGATCCCAGGCTCCCGGTCAAACCCTTGCTTTATTACACACCTACCCTTGACCGCCCCCTCCCAACCACTAACCTCTCTTGTCCTTCAGGCCTCCTATAGCATTTTTCTCTCCAAGAGACAAAAAAGAGTAGAGTTCAAGTGCTTGATTCCTACCCAACTTTCATAACGCGATCACTGAAAAAAATTTTAGCAAGCATTTCCTTTGGTTCCCGACACTGCTTGCCGCTGGTGAATAAAACATACTCCAGGCTTTGAGAAATCAGTTAAGTCGGCAAGATTGACTGAAAATCAGAAACCCCAGGACAAACACACTTTCCTTCAATGCAGGGTGGAGGCTTCTCCCCCATGCCCCAACACATGCTCTTTTCTCTCTATTTAGGGCTCTAGGCCACACCTCCCCTCAAGAAGTCTAATAAACCCTAGGTTTGGAGGGGAGGGAGAGAGGGAGGGAGAGAGGGAGAACCAGTAAAGGTCACTCTCAAGTCACTTTTCTGCTAAGGGAATCCACACCCTGTGCAGCCCCCAGTCAGGCCCAGCTCTAGGGCCCCATCTGCTGGTGAAGAGGAGGATTCCCCCACCTCAAGTTCACGCCAATGTCACTGTGCCGAGCCCTCCCTGCCAGAAGCCTCCTCCCCACAGAGGAGCACACTGTGTGGAGGCTGAGGGGCGCAGGGAATGAGAGCCGAACTGTCCTTCAGGCCACCTGGCCTGTGCATCAGATGTCACCCTAAGGACACCGTTGCTGTGCTCAGGTCCACCCACGTGCTGAATAAATGACCTGTCGTTTGTTTTTTGTCTAAAAATTATTCAATTGCTCTCCTAACTCGCCCTTTGGGCTCCTCCCCTTCCCGATGCTGCCAACTCCTGACATGTACATTCTGCCCCCCCTGCGTGTGCTCAGAAGAAAAACTCAAAATAAAGCCCTCGACACCAAAACATAGAGATCCATGAGTCTCCAGGGTCTTGAAGATCTGGTGAGGAAAAGGTCTTTTGTTTTAAAAACTGGACCTTTGAAAAAAATAAAGGTTAGTTTCACCCCAGAGAGAATCGCTGTTACTGTTTTACAGACACACACAAACACATGCTCTTTTACAAATTTTGGATCATCCCAGATGTAACCCTTTTGGAATTTGCTTTTTTCCTACCAAGCACATTTCCCCCATGTGATTCCACAGATGGCTTTTAATGGCTGCAGAATATTCCATCCAGTAGAATGACCATCATTTACATGCTGCAATTCCCTACTATTGGACCTTAAAATTGTTTCCACTCTTTTGCTATGACAAATTACACTATAATAAACATGTTAAACATACATCTCTCTTTTCACCTCTCTGACAACTCCCTTAGGATAAATTCCTGAAAGTGAAACAGCTGTAGTAAGAAGTCCAACAACATTTTATACATGAGAGTGGCTGTGTTTTAAATTGTCCACCCTGAACAACGCTTAAAAGCTTCTCCAATGGCTCCAAAAAGTCATCTCTTCCACTCTAAACTTTTATTTCACTGATTCACTGTTTTTTTTCTTTATTAATATAAAGGAGTTCCAAATTGGGACCTGCTGTAATGCACCAGATTCTTAGCATATACTCCACGGTATCCCAATAAGCTAAATATTAGGCTTCTGTCTCTCAATATCAGGTTTCTGGAGGTGGAGGGAGGTAAACCTTGACCTCTACTCTCATAGGGTCTTCTACTGGGCCTGAGAATTTAGTTGTCATAGAACAGATGAGCAAGAGAAAATCATATGAACTTATTTAAGTTTTATCAGACTTGGGAGTCCTCATAAAGAAATCAAGATCCCCCCCAAAGTGGCAAAGCCACAATGTTTTTATACTTGGTTAAACAAAGAGAAGCAATGAGGTAAATGTAACTAAATCACAGGGGAGGCGAGGAAGATAAGCGTTATTATAAGAAGGTCTGTTTGTGCAGATTTTGCTCAGCTTCAAACTCCCCCCTGAAGATAAGAATGGGGCTCTTCTCCTGGTACTGGGAAGGCCTGTTTCATGTGGGGCTTTTATCTTCTGTTTTCAGTAAGAAACAGGGAGATCAGAGGCCCCTCTCTGCATCTGCTGTTTCTCAAGTGCCTGTAGCTCAAAGCAATCCTTATGCTGAAATGGCACGTTTCAGGCTGACAGGTTCTGCCATTCTTTGGAGGGTATTTTTATTTGGTTCCCAGTCTCTAGCACCACACTGGGCACAAAAAAAAAAAAAAAAGTGGGAAGAAACAGGAGGTTTAGTTTGTCACTCTCAAAAAGGGAATTTTATATATCACATACATTCACACCTTTGGGTAATGTTCCCCTGAGGATTCTGACACACTTCACAACTCCTGGCCAAGGAGTCATGGATCCTGGGTGTTGGTTTGAGAACAGCAACATGCACTTGACTTTGAGGGGGTCACCGAGCACCTCTGGATTCAGTTTCTGTCTGTGTGGTGGAAGTGAAGCTCAACCTGTTGTGGGCTTGTTCTGAGGATGACGATGCTACACATAGAAAGATGTCAGAATCTGCTAAGGACTCACCAGATGTGATGCAGTAGAGTGACAGCCATTTGTTTTATTTTATTTTTTTTTTTTATGTTTGTTTTGAATTTCATGAATGATTTTTTATTTTTTTTAATAAATTTTATTGTTATA